ACAGCCATCTGTAAGCTACAGGTAAAATATGTTTGCATCAGGACAAGGATAGAAATGCCACCCTGTTCCCTGTGATGCTAACACTGCTGCCAACTGCTTAGTTAAAAATGTTACCCAAAAAAAAGGCTTCCCTGGTGGCGCAGTGGTTGAGAGTCCGCCTGCCGATGCAGGGGACACGGGTTCGTGCCCCGGTCCGGGAAGATCCCACATGCCACAGAGCGGCTGGGCCCGTGAGCCATGGCCGCTGAGCCTGCGCGTCCGGAGCCTGTTCTCCGCAACAGGAGAGGCCACAGCAGTGAGAGGCCCGCGTACCGCAAAAAAAAAAAAAAAAGTTACCAAATAAAGATGTCATTTTCAAATAGAGTAATATTTTTCTGCTCACAGTAAAGTTATTTCTTAGCTGCAACTTATGATGGTTATACCCCCATTAAAAGAAAAAAAAAAAACAGTTTAGTGGAGAAAGGGGGGAAAAAAACCTGGAAAAGATTATAGGGCAGTATATAATGAACAGAATACTATCAGAGTTTTTAAAAAATTTCACTTATATTTGAAATCCAGGGTCCCTAAGTTCTTTCATGAAATAATATTCTCCCTTCTGCTCCATTTTTTCCCCTCTTAAAAGAATTTCTCACCTCTCTGTTTTTGGAAAAAAGAAAAGTACTTAGCTCCTACAAAGCAGAGTTTCAAAGAAAATCCATCAGCTCAATGTTTTTCCACTAAAGAACATGGAATAAAGTAGGAAGGGAAGTGTACTTCGACATATTGGCAGGGAAGAAAAGAACCAGTTTGTGTTGGGTACCTGCTGTGTGTCTAGACTGATGCCAACTAGTGGGTCAGAGAGCAGGCTCTGAGGCTGAAAAGCCAGGCTTCAGATCTTGGTTACTTACTCAATGAGTGACTTTGAGAATGTTACTTAATACGTTGGTGCCTCAGTTTCCTCATCTGCAAAGCAGGGTGAATACCTATGTCATAAAGGTGTGATAGGCATGCAGAACACTTATTCCATGTCTGACACATATCAGGTATTTAACAGAGAGGGGTTGGCTGAGAGAGGTTCAAAAAGTCTCAGGTAAACAACAACAACAACAAAACAAATACATGCTTAGGCTCTATCTCCAGATATTTTCATTTAATTTTGTCATTACTTTTAAATCTTCCCAAGTGATTTAAAACTGCAGCCATATTCAAGAAGCATTGCACTTAGCTTAGTTCTTACAATTTAGTGAGCAGCAGAATCACCAGAAATGCTTCCTGGCCCACGATACCATCATGTCCAAGGTGAGATGGCTCCAGCAGTTCCCAGAGAGTCCCAGGGAGCCACAGAGCCTATGATAATCACAACTGAAGACGAACCTACAAGCTTCACAACAGTGTCAAGTGGCCAACCTTTCCTTTCAGTTTCTCATCTTACCCAGCTGCCAAAAAAGGTGTTTTGTAGAAAGAATTCAATTAAGCAAATACATTTTGGGCTAACTTATCTCTGAGCACTGGAAGACCATTTTGTATTGTTGTAGTCACATGATTCACAACGGTGACTGTGTTTGTATTATGGACGATACTCACAGAGGTGGGTCTATGGTGGCCATTATGACACTAAGGCATCCAGTAGAGAAAGAGCTCAGGTAGATGGCTTTCCACAATATGAAGCCTGCCCTGGGGGACTAGAGTCCTCCTGCAGATATGAAGTTTATTCTGCATGTAATCTCTGGAATAAATGAGCAGGTCCATCATAAAGGGCTCATGAGAAACTTTTTGTGCTTGATGGAAACACTTAGAAATGAAGATAATTAAGTTATACTGAGATATTTTTATTTATCTGACTTAACCAAAATTTCAGAAGTAATGTCTCCAAGCTTTGGAAAAACTAATCGTGACTTTCTGTTGCTGGTAGTGACAAGCATATCATGTATATGCAGATATTCTATACAATAAATTTAGAGGGGTGATACACACTTAAGATTAAGGCCAGATATCCCTACAAAACTGAGTTTAACTTCTCTCTCTGCCACTCTATAGCACCATAAAACTCAACATGCCATTACACCTCACCAAACTCCTATTTTCTAATCTGTAAAATGGCAGTAATGATTAATAACTCTGCTGTTGTAAGGAATGCATGTATTATGCTGTACAGAATATCTTATACCAGTTATTAAGGATTTATTATTATACTTTGTGGGTACAATATGCATTAGCTAGTTAATGTTTGTTCCATACACAAGAGAAGTATAATACAGACAGTATTTGCTAAAGGGGTACTTTTGGAATGACATGGTTTTGTCTTTATTGAGTTCTTATGGAAAAAAATAGCTTTTGTCTTAAGCACAGGGATGGGGAGTGTCATGCACTGAATTAGTCAATAAGAGACACAAAGTGAGCAAGGCAGAGGGGAATGGTACACAGACAGAGTTGTTGGAAATAGCTCCAACTCCAAGAGACTCATTCTTCTAATGTGATAATTGCTATTTATTTTATAGGCTTGCATGTGACATATCACCACTGAAACTGCTTCTAATTCTGCTTTTATTATTAACCTCACTTTTCAATTCCTTATCAACTTTGGACAGGGCTATTTTCCTCTTCATAGCATCGATAGAAAAGCTAGTTTAAGTTTGCTTTAAAAGAAATTAATCTCAAGGCTATTCCCACATTTTAAAAGGACCTTGTATGAGAATGTTAATAGCTGCTATGAGGCCTGGAATCAGCCCTTCCCTAAGAGAGAAACAAAAGTGCAGGTTCAGTGTCATTCAATCAGAGAAACTAATAGGATGGCCATGAAATGCTCCTACAGAGCTGCTTGGTGAAGGAGAAATGCCCAGATCTGGCATTTCTTAGCTGGGTGAACTTGGATAAGTTCCTGAATCTCTCTGTATCTCAGTTTCTTCATCTGCAACATGTAAACATCCACCTGTACCTTGCGTTACGGCAGATCCAGGTACCAATTTTCTGAAGCATGCACATAAAAGAAAGGATGGAAGAAACAGGAGAAGGAAGGAAGGGAGAGGAAGAGACAAAGATAGGAAATGGCATATATAGTCTGATAAGGATGCATATTAGATAGAGACAACAAACAGAATCTTTCAAATCAGGACCTGGCAATAGCCAGGATTTTTCATCACCACACCCTGACTTATACTTAGAGTTTCATGTTTTGGGCTCCCTAGGAGATGTCCCTTAAAATTTTCTCAGAGACAGGCATCAAAGGAAGGAAAGTGGCCATACAATGTTCCAAGCATGAAATAATTAATTGTACTTAATCAACACAGTAACCTTATGAATTCGATGCTTTCAATCTCCACTCTTACCAAGTGAACCCAAGGGGGATAGAGTTAATATGAAATACCTGGGGTCAAAGGCTTGGTAGAAGGGAAATTCAGACTGAAACCAATTTGGCTTCAAAGTCTGGGTAGTGACTACCACAGGGTTCTGTGCTACCTCTGCAAAGCCTGGAATATTAAATAATTCAACAAACACGACGACAGGTCATCTCAATATCTCATAATAATGTGTACCAGGCACGATTTTAGAACTTGTTTTAAAATGTTTTATGAAAGAAGATGCTCCTTAAGCTCAGACAGACTTCCTTTCAGACAGAACCACTTGGAGAAAATTTCTAGATCAAATGACATTAGGCCTCAAAGAGCCTAGGAAGGATGCGTAAGTTTTCAAGAATAATTCACACTGTGGCAGAAATGCAAGTTGACTGAAGTTACAATGTCACTCAGAAAGTTTGCTAGTCTTTTTAAGAATGACATTAAGCAGTGACAGACAAGTGACAGGGACAGCCACTTCAACAGAAGTTGACAGAAGGACTGGGATGCCTTAAAAACAGAGGGAAAAAATCCAGTGGGAAATAGGCATAATGAGAGATTGTTTTCTTCCCATTTTTTCCTTTCTACATTTTTAGATATAGATGTCAATACAGTCCCTTTTCTAAAGTTTTTAAATACAAAAAACCTGCCTTTATATTTATCTTTTAAGATCTCAAATAGTAATGACTACTTTGCATTTAAACAAAAACACCTAAACCAAAACAGAATTTCTAAAATAGAACATAGGGTGCCATCTACAGAAGAGTGCTCAGAATTTGGGGAAAATGTGAAGGTGACCGTATTTTTTACACTGACAACGTGCTCAAAACAAAGAGCTAAAATTTTTTTCTTGAAAGCTCCGAAGTCGAAAAATTTCTTACCGGTTTCTCATCGTAAACCTAAATAAGTGTGGATTAGCTTGTGACCGGGAAATACTAGGCCCTTAGAGCTGGAAAGAATTTCTGCTGGTAAATTTTATGAGCATGGAATCAGGAGCACAGATGGGCAGAAAGGTTTACCATCTTCACTGACCTGGTAAATGTCAGACTTGGAATCTCAAATCCCTATCTTTTCTCCTCCACATCACTGTGGAGGGAACGCCTTCCCTGCCCATAGAGATGCAAAGTTCCTCTGATTGGTGTCTGAGCTATATATATTATAGTACTATAAATATTGCACTATATATGTATATACCTATAGATATATATATAAATTATATACTTATACAAAGTTTAACAATTTGTATGCAGTTTAAACCACTATTGTTAACTGCTATATAACTGCTAGTAGTTACAAATATAGTAGCCATGACTACAAGTAGTTATACAGTAGTTATGACTACAGTAGTTTAAGCTATATCTAATTCATTTGACTCTCTTGTGATACAGGAAATCTATTTCAATTCAATACAGCTGAGGTTTGCCACGCTCTCACCATCCGGCAATCACTTTGCTGGGCTTCAGGACACAGTGATTAAGTCAAACTCCTGCTCTCACTGGAGTTCCTTCTCTAAGCAATATGTGTTCTTGCCTTATAATTATACCTTCTAGAACCTTAAATGTTACCATCAGTTTTGTTTTTTTTTAATTTTCATTTATTTATTTATTTGGCTGCTCCAGGTCTTAGTTGCAGCATGTGGGATCTTTAGTTGCAGCATGTGGGCTCTTAGTTGCGGCAGGCGGGATCTAGTTCCCTGACCAGGGATCGAACCCAGGCCCCTGCACTGGGAGTGCAGAGTCTTAACCACTAGACCATGAGGGAAGTCCCCATCGGTTGGTTTTAAAAATGTACCACAACAAAAATAAAATTTTGAGAAACCAGCAAATGTTCCATAACAGGATTTCTGCTCTCTATATGGTACTGAACTGCTGGGTCAAAAGGCGGTCAGACAAGATAAACAGTGTCTCATTCACCTCTACATCCAATAATCTATTCTGAAGAGAGGTTTTACGAACCACAAACTCATAAACCATGAAGGAGGATTCATTTCCCTCCCTCTCTTATGAAGACCTGGTTGAGGAGTTGAGAGAAGCAAAAGAGAATCAAAGATGTTCAAGACAATATCTGTATTCAAATATAAAATAAAACCCAAGCAACAAATAGGGTTCTAAATATAGGGTCTTGATATTCAGTAGTGAGAATAGGAAGGAAGGAAGGGAGCTCATGGTAAGATTATTATACTTTTAGACCTTGGACATGTCTTTCCCTGATTAGTAAGGAACAAAAAGGTAGAGAGCTTTCAGTGCCCATGGAAGATCTTCTTTCCTTGCTGCCCAAAACCATTTCCACTGACTGTATGAGAAAGATCCTTAGCCTTTAGTAAAACCACAGAAGAGTTGCATGCAAATGAGTTCAAATCTCTTTTTTTAGAATGATACAAATGAACTTATTCACAAAACATAAACAGACGCACAGACATAGAAAACAAACTTATGGTTACCAAAGGGAAAAGGTGGGAGGAGGGATAAATTAGGAGTTTGGGATTAACGTGTACACATTGTTCTACATAAAATAGATAATCAACAAGGATGTACTGTATAGCACAGGGAACTCTACTCAATATTTTGTAATAACCTATATGGGAAAAATATCTGCAAAAGAATATATATGTGTGTATATATTTATATGTATATATATGAATATGTATAACTGAATCACTTTGCTGTATACCTGAAATTAACACATTGTAAATCAACTATACTTCAATAGAAATAAATTAGTTAAAAAAAATCTTTTTTAACTATGTTTCCCAATATACATATATATAATTTAAAATTTAAAATCTGAATATTACTCATATCTACTTTGTAAGCTTGTGGTTATTAATAAAAATATAAAAATGTATTGAACATAATGACTGACACATAGTAATCAGTAACAGTTACTGTTATTCAATATTATTAATCTTTGCTCATATCCCAATATATAGCAATTCTTGCCCATCAAGTTTGCTATCTTGTGAGGGAAGTATTACTGATTTTTTTTTCTCTCCTCAACACTTAACAGTGTCCTTAGCAAACCACAGGATTTTAATAAGGATTTGTTTAATAATTAAACAATGCATTTTCAACAACGGGAACAATATTTAACCTAGTTTCACTCTCCCTAGTAAATTTTCAATTAGTTTGCATTACTATATTCAGAATGCTTACATATTGAGAGCATAATGCTAGTACACTGCCCCATGAGTAAATCATTTTCTCTTCAGCTTCCTCAATTTACTGGGGTAAATGAATGGAGTATATAAATAATGTGATTTATTTGAGAAACCTCTGCTGAAAACTAAATTATAAATCACTGGGCTTCAGGGAGGATTCTCCCCTAGAGTCTTCGCAGTGAGCACAGCCCTGACGACACCTTGATTTCACACTAATAGCCTTCAGAATGTGAGAGAATAAGTTTCTTTTGTTTAAAGCCACCAAATTGTGGTAACTTGTTTATGGCCATGCTAGGAAACTAGCAGACCAACATATGCACAGTTCTTTTCCTTTTTTTTTCCTGACCACCTTCATCAAGGAAAAAATAAAACCACCTAGGAGTGAGATAAAGTCAGGTACTTATGTAACTGAATTATATTAGGAAGTAAAGTATTGAGAGGGATGGCCTTGATTAAATGTGGAATAATCTGGGCAATAAATAAATAAATCACTGGGCTTTATTTTTATTTAAATAATTGGATTTTGAATGTTAAAACTTATTTGTGAAAACCATTCTCTCTTAAGGCCTGTTAAACATAATGACATTTTACTTAGAACTCATAGTTTCATTGTAAATAAAAACAAGATTATTCATTTTCACATATGATCAAGTTTCAGTGAACTATCTTTTACCAGATGAGCTAAAATTACACGGAATTCACTTTTGTTAATTGAAGCTTGTCACCCCAACATTGTCCTGAAAAAATTTGAAGCTCATTTTAGGTGCAAAGGACAATTTTTGCTAGGCAATTCTGCTGCATATTATTTACACTGGTGTAACACTGTATTTCTTCTGGTCTAACACACAGCACTCCAAAACAGAGCTTGCTGAGTGTGACCAACTTGAATTGTTTGCCTGGGACTTTCCCAGGTTTAGCACTGGAATTCTCACATCCAGAGAAACCCCTCAGTCCTGGGCGAACTGGGAGAGTCGGTAACTCTAACCGGAATGAAACAGAATTATTTAGACCAGTGATTCTCAGCTGGAGCAGTTTTGCCCCACTCCCACCTCCCCCAGTACACACACACACTCCCCCAGTGATTCAACCATGTCTAGACTTTTTTCGTTGTCATGACTTTGGGGGACGAGTAGTTGCTGCTGGCATCTATGAGGCAGAAGCCAGGAATGCCGCTAAACATTCTGCAATGCACAGCACAGGCACCCTGACAAACTGTCTGGTCCAAAATGGCAATAGCGTCTCTCTTGAGAAACCTTGGCGTAAACCCTTAAAATGCTTCTTTCATGCCCTAGGTTTTGTGCTTCCTTGATCAAAGTTGATCTCCATCCATTTTTTCTCTTTTAAACATTTTTGTTTCAAGATGGGGATACAGGGCTTCCCTGGTGTTGCAGTGGTTGGGAGTCCACCTGCTGATGCAGGAGACGCGGGTTCGTGTCCCAGTCCAGGAGGACCCCACGTGCCGTGGAGTGGCTGGGCCCGTGGGCCACGGCCGCTGGGTCTGTGTGTCCGGAGCCTGTGCTCCACGACGGGAGAGGCCACAGTGGTGAGAGGCCCATGTACCACACACACACACACAAAAAAAAGATGGGGATACATGTTTGTAAAGAAAAAAAAAATCTTTAACTTTTTGGTATCACCATAAGTGAAATTAGTCTTCATTGTTTTAGGAATGAAACATCTGTTTTTCACTGCAGCTTTTGTTCCACTAAACCAGCAGCCCCTATTTGCCCAATAAAAAAACTTCAGGAAATTGCTACTTAGACATATTACAATCAGGCTATCGCCCTCTGTAAATCACCTCCTTTCACTCTTATAAAGATTTCTTTAGTACTATATCTCCCTTATTCCAAAAACTTGGCTTTTCACTTTCCCCGCTGGAGGTCTACCTGGGCCTCATCATTCATTTAGAAGTTTATATCCCCACATTTGAAACTAATCTTTCTACATGCATTCTGATTTCACTCACTTCTGTGGCTCTGAAAGTCCAGATCCAGGCTGAGTATGATAGATACTGTGGTGCTTTGCCCAGATCCCTCTTTAGGGTTGAAGCAATACTGGCTTCAAAGAGCTCACAGCTGTTTCTCACCGGGCACTGTCTCAGCCACAGGTAATGTTTGGCTGATTTACAGGTGCAAAGGCCCAGCCACCTTTACTTAATGTGGGACAACTCTAAAGGGCCAGTCCAGTTTCAGAGCTCCCTGTGAGGATCTTCTAAGGTCTCAGATGCAAATTGGTTGTCAGCCAGCTTCTCCCTCTGCTCAATTCTGCCTCCCTCACTTTCTTACAGGTGTTATCTCCTGAGACCATTCCCCAATAAACCTTCTCTCCATCACAGAGCCTCTTTCCAGGGGACAGATTCTAAGGCGGCCAACCCCAGGCTTATGAATCTACCCTTTCTCAGGTCTTTTTGGCTGAGTCCTCACTTTGTCTTTTCCATTGTCAAGAAGACTGTTTCAGCTGAAATCTTTGTATCATGTATTCATGATAAAAAGAGTAAGACAAACTGCCTGAAAGTCTTTAATAAAATTGGGTCTGTCTTACTATGAAATTCTCTAAATCACTGAATACTAAAAGTTTAGGGTATCAGTCACAAAGAACTGCATTTGTATTCATCCAAAACAGCAACCACAACAAAACCTGGAATGTAATGTCACATCCATCTCTGGTAGCACATCTGTCAAGTTAGACTGCCATGCAGTTTTTTAAAAGGTAATAGGAAGCATCAGCAATATAAAAAAATGCTTAGTGCTATCCAGACGTGGCTCCTCCTGTCTAATTAAATTCCACTTCTTTTCCCAAGTTACAAATGAACAGGGAATAGTATTCTGGTTGACAGAAGTCCTGTAATATTAGCAGTAAGTAGGTTTTATTCACAATGACTCATTAAAAATATATTTAATATTTTTATAAGTGGCTAGTCCTTAAAGTTTTTACAGTGCCCCATCCCCCAGATCCTGCCTCCACCTTTTCCCACCTTTTTTTAATCACTCATCCAAGCACCTACCACCCTCTGTCATGAATCACAGGATCCCTCCTGCCTTTCAATCTTCTGACTCTTGGAGGACAAACCTGCTTTCTGCCAGGCATATACGAATAGTTCTGTCCTCCCATCAATCATCTGAAAGACTCGATGACTAGGCAGAACTAAGTTCTTGATTTTTTTCCTATCTTATTTTAAAGTGTCAAAGGTGGAATTAATGGGCCACAGAAAGGTGCTATTAAAAGAAAAAAGCAGATATAGGAAATGAAGTTTATGATCCAGAGACCAGGGATTTGCTCTTGATACACCTGGTTAAAGGTATAGTGGCTAAACTGACCTAGATGCATGTGAAAAAACAGACTTCTGCAAGCCAATATCATTAATTACACATGAATATCATATGCCTATTTCCTCTCCTGAAAAGCGGTTTTCCTCAATGGTCACAGCAGAAGGACCTCCAGTTCAACTAGAGTGGCTCTGTTTTAATCTCCTGTTCAAGTCATGGACAAGTCTTATCTGTATATGATCTAATTCATTAAAGAACCCCTTCAAATGTGCTCTGAACTGGGCACTATAATCCATACTGACCCCTGTATTAAAATTAAACCCATGGGATTTTAACAT